CGAGGGTACGCGGTATCGGTCCTCGTTAAACTGTTCTACAGTAACTTGAACTCGTTTGAACTTTTCAATTTTGGAAAAAGTGGCTACATTTTTTACAAAGTGACCACTGTTAAAAATGCTACATCCGAACATAATCAGCAGCAAAAGTTCCTAATTTTGCCCTATACTGATCAGGTAATAGAGTGCTCTCACTCCTGATATAGGCCACTGAGAATCAAATCCCAGAGATCACTTTCGATTTTAATATTGTTCACGAATAACACCAAAACAGCCATGATCTTCAGTGATATCATTAGGAGTACAAGACAAATTTTCGTGGTTTTTTTTCCTCTATGTAACACAAAGAGTGTTATTTTCACTCATAAAGTTATCTTAAAAATAAAGATTTTGAGTGGCGTTGTACAAAAGTTAGAAATTTTCCTAATTTTTCCATTCAACTGAATATCACCCAGTCAGCAAAAATAAGGTTATATGTAGTTGTGCAACATTTCTTGGATGGCCCTCGATTGCTTTGAGTTTGGGTCAGATCAACACCTCCTAGAATAAGGAAGGCCTCAGCACGGATCAAATTAGTAGTCCGATGTGACGAAGTTAACTGCGCAGTTGATGAAAAATAAGAAAGATCTCATTACGTTCGGGGTACTAAGCTGCGCAGTGGTTGAAAATACGAAATAAGTCATTACGTTTGGACTACTAAAGGATATTTATGGTAACCCGTGCAGAGGCCTACTCTTTTCTAGGAGGTGTTGGTCAGATTGGATTATAATGATTAGGATAGAATGATTTCACTTTTTCTGACTAGAAGTTTAGTAGGAAGAATACGATGGAGAACAGCGTACCACGACTGATTTTTTAAAAATATCACATTTTTTCCCAAATTTTCAGTTTTATTTTTTATAAGTTATAAATTTTTGTTTCGATTTACGTTTATAACTGTATTTAATAATATATGCTTATTACTTTTACTTTTTATTATTGTCCATCACTATAAAATGCCTTTTCTTTTCTTTTAAAGATGGTCAAAAAGTTCTGTATTCAGTATCATTCCTTGCTTATTTTTTAGAGTTAAATTATGTTATAACTTTAAAACGTGAAAAAAAAAAGTGTTACTTTTAAGTATTTAAATTACAACACTACTTCTGACCTCAAAAAACTTGATGGAGTGTTCACGAGTAGAGCATTTAAAATGCACCGTGACAGAGTGTCAAATGGGGTGCTATAGAGAGCTACGTTGCTATGAAAATACACGTGGTGTGAAACTACTCTCACATTTTCTGTTTATTCTGCCGACACCTGCTTTGTTTTTATATCATAATTTATTTTCGTAATATTTCACTTACAATCCTTAGAACCAGTGAAGCCGGAATCGGTTATACTGTACTAAACATAAACGACGTTACATTGTACAAATTCAAGGTAGTTTCATCAAACGGTGTTAGAAACTAATTTTGACCTGAAATAGGAAAGATCGCTTGGGTATCTTGGGATAGTAAGACTTGTATTTAGATAAAGAAGGCGAACTCTACATAAAATGAAAATCGCGTGAGGAAAAACAGCATTAAAAAATAATAATAATTATAAAATTTTTTTCATACCGATAGAAATGACTCGTAGATTGTCAACTACAGAAAATTCAAACTACAACAAAAGGAGTGTAGCGAAAAAGATCGTGGAAATAATAACAGTGATAATTCATTTATGTCGTACTAGAGCTGCTCATTGGGCTTTTAATGATAGGTTTGAGAAATATCTCTGAGGATGATCTGAAGGCATGCAAAGGGGATAACTCGATTTAGTAGCTCAACGACTTACACTCGACGTCGAAAACTATAAGGTAACGAGGACCGATACTGCACGCCCTCGGTCCCTTCGCATGATGATCAAAGTGCTTACTGATCGCTGCCAGTGATGTTTGCCTTCGGTGATCTACTGGGTCTCGAATCTCTAGCTGTTCTCAGAAGGGATCAAAAAACCTCCATGTATCATATCCTACGAAGCCTAAGAAGTTTGCTAGTTTGATTCCTGTCCCCTTTTTATGCATTTTTTAACGAGAAGAATTGATGTTGTTTTGTTTAACTGGTAAATATTTATATTATAATCTCACTAAACTCTACGCAAACAGACTTGTCGAATTTTTAAAATATTTAAATAAATAATTATTATTTTCTTCCTAATTTTGAATTCGGTTTTTATCACACGAAATATGGCAACAAATTGACGCTAAATCAAAAATTTCGATTTCTCTGCTCCCAGCAGAAATGAGGTATTGAGGTTGAAGAGGAAAGTTTTTTCAACGAGAGATAGTCGCTGTCAAATAATTTTCACATGCTGCAATCCTTCGCGAGTAGCTCTCTCAAAAAGCTTGTAAGTTAATTCTTATCTTTTCAACTGATTTTGCGATAAATTTTTATCAAAATTCACGATTAACTTCTGCGTGACACTTCTAAGATATGTTTATCTATTTATGAACCGTTACTTCATACCCAAAGTGGTGTGACTTCATAGATCGTAAGATACAACTGGACTAGTTATTGATTCCTGTTTAATTTTAATGTACGGGTACTAACGGAGCGAAATGCGATGGGTTATAAAATTCTGTTGCTACCCTTCATTCAGTCATTTTATTAATCTCTCTGTGTTCAGACCTATCCTCCTAGGATATTTGCTGGTGACCGTATGTCCAAATTTTTTTTTCTTCTTCTGTTCTATAATTTTGACTTGCTTTCACTATGTCCCTATTCTACTAATATGAAAATCGTATGAGGTTTAAATTATTTTAATATTTATTTTTATAAATGTCGTTGACCTCATGCATGCTTTAAACATTGATGTTTCTCTTCAGTAATCATGCAAAGATGACAATCTGTCTAAAATTTAATTTTTTTAACTTCTATCTCTAAAATATAATGTGTNTTCATGTTTTTTTTTTTCTCTATGTAACACAAAGAGTGTTATTTTTACTCAAAAAGTTATCTTAAAAATAAAGATTTTGAGTGACTTTGCACAAAAATAAGAAATTTTCCTAATTTTTCCATTCAACTGAATATCGCCCAGTCAGCAAAAAAAAAGGTTATACGTAGTTATGCAACATTTCTTGGTTGGCCCTCGATTGCTTTGAGTTTGGGTCAGATTGGATTCTAATGATTTCACTTTTTCTGACTAGAAGTTTAGTAGGATGAATAGGCAGGAAGGAGAACGACGTAACCCGACTGATTTTTTAAAAATATCCCATTTTTTACCAAATTTTCAGTTTTATTTTTTACAAGTTATAATTTTTTGTTCCGATTTCCGTTTATAACTGTATTTTTTTTATTAATAATAAATTTTTATTACTTTTATTTTTTAATTATTCTTCATCACTATAAAATGTCTTTTTTTTTTCTTTTAAAGATGGTCAATAAGTTCTGTATTCAGTATCATTCCTTGAATTTTTTTCACATTAAATTATGTTATAACTTTAAAACATTTTTCAAAAAAAAAGCTTTACTTTTAAGTATTTAAGTAGAATTTAGAAAATTTAAATCAAATGCTGTTAAAAAAAATTTATTTCATTTTGGGGAAAAAAATCGTAAGAAGTTGGGATTTTTAGCGTCTTTCCGCCCCCCAAAAAATGTGCCATTACAACACGACTTCTGACCTCAGAAAACTTGATGGAGCGTTCGCGAGCAGAGCATTTAAAATGCACCATGACAGAATGTCAAATGGGATGCTAGAGAGCTACGTTGCTATGAAATTACACGTGGTGTGAAAATACTCTCACATTTTCTATTTATTCTGCTGACACCTGTTTTGTTTTTATACCATAATTTATTATCGTAACATTTCTCTTACAATTCTTAGGACCAGTGAGGCCGGAATCGGTTATACTGTACTAAACATAAACGACGTTACATTGTACAAATTCAAGGTAGTTTCATCAAACGGTGTTATAAACTAATTTTGGCCTGAAATAGGAAAAAGAAAGATCGCTGGGCATCTTGGGTAAGTGAGACTTGTATTTAAATGAGAACGCGAACTCTACCTAAAATGAAAATCGCCCGAGGAAATACAGAAACAAAAAAAAAAAAAATAATAAAATAAAAATTTTATAATAATAATAAAAAAAAATTTCACACCAGTAGAAATTACTCATATATTGTCAACTACAGCAGATTCAAACTACAACAAAAGAAGTATAACAAAAAAGATCGAAAAGTAATAACAGTGATAATGCATTTATGTCGTACTAGAGTTGCACATTGGGCTTTTAATGATGGGTCTGAGAAACATCTCTGAGGATGATCTGAAGGCATGCAAAGGGGATGACTCGATTTAATAGCCCAACGACTTACACTCGACGTCGAACACTATAAGGTAACGAGGACCGATACTGCACTCCCTCGGTCCCTTCGCTTGATGATCAAAATGCTTACTGATAGCTGCCAGTGATGTTTGCCTTCGGTGATCTATTGGGTCGCGAATCTCTAGCTGTACTCAAAAGAGATTAAAAAACCTCCATGGCTGATATCCTACAGTCTGAGAAGTTTACTAGTTTGATTCCTGCCCCCTTTAATGTATTTTTTAACGAGAAGAATTCATGTTGTTTTGTTTAGCTGGTAAATATTTATATTATAATCACACCAAACTCTACGCAAACAGACTTGTCGAATTGTTAAAATATTTAAATAAATAATTATTATTTTCTTCCTAATTTTGAATTCGGTTTTTATCACGCGAAATATGGCAACAAATTGAGGCTAAATCAAAATTTCGATTTTTCTGCTCCTACTCCTAGAAGAAATGAGGTATTGAGGTTGTAGAGGAAAGTTTTTTCAACGAGAGATAGTCGCTGTCAAATACTTTTCACATGCTGCAATCCTTCGCGAGTAGCTCTCTCAAAAAGCTTGTAAGTTAATTCTTATCTTTTCAACTGATTTTGCGATAAATTTTTATCAAAATTCACGATTAACTTCTGCGTGACACTTCTAAGATATGTTTATCTATTTATGAACCGTTACTTCATACCCAAAGTGGTGTGACTTCATAGATCGTAAGATACAACTGGACTAGTTATTGATTCCTGTTTAATTTTAATGTACGGGTACTAACGGAGCGAAATGCGATGGGTTATAAAATTCTGTTGCTACCCTTCATTCAGTCATTTTATTAATCTCTCTGTGTTCAGACCTATCCTCCTAGGATATTTGCTGGTGACCGTATGTCCAAATTTTTTTTTCTTCTTCTGTTCTATAATTTTGACTTGCTTTCACTATGTCCCTATTCTACTAATATGAAAATCGTATGAGGTTTAAATTATTTTAATATTTATTTTTATAAATGTCGTTGACCTCATGCATGCTTTAAACATCGATGTTTCTCTTCAGTAATCATGCAAAGATGACAATCTGTCTAAAATTTAATTTTTTTAACTTCTATCTCTAAAATATAATGTGTGTGGAATTATTTTTAATGTTCATCTAGTGAAATTTTAGTTTCTAAAATGTGCACTTGATTTTGGCAGCATGATTTAGTATTATCTTATTATATTTAATCATAGAATCTAAATCATTGAATCATGTGCTAAACTTTTAAATTTTCTTTTATCAAGTTTTAAGCATTATCTTTTCTGTGAGTATAATTTTAGTTTAGATCTTTACTTTAGATCTTACATTTAGAAAGAAAGAAAATTCATTCCTAGCATTTGCTTGTGATCATGGTGTTAATGATTTAAATTGAGAAAAATATTTTTCTTTTTCTGGAAATTCAAAAGATATATTTTAAAGCTGAGAAGTTATTTATTTTAGATATGTTTTGATTTACTTTAAGGGAATCAATTGAGAAAGCTACTAATTAAATATTTACATAAATTTGAACTCACATTTCTATTATTATTATTTTTTAAAGAAAATTATTTTGTTATGGCTTGTTTTTGTGGAAATCTGGTTACTTTTTTTAAATGTTAGGTAAGTTGTTGGTGTAATTACAACAAGCCCAGTGTCGTATAAAATCCCTTTGATCTGATCTATTGATCAGGATCTGTAACTTGAGTTGCGGTACCAAAAATTACTTATTTGTCTGTGATAAAGTTAACCTTAATTGGTTTTATCTAATAAAGAGATATTAATTTGAAACTAAAATTTAAAAATTCATAAAATAAATTGAATGCTACAATTGATTTTTTTGATTAGTCGAAGACCATTTCTTTTTTAGTTATTTAAAAAGTGATGTATAATAGAGAAACTCAAAAAAAAAAATTTAAGTTATGAAAGTGTCTGAAAGTAGTTTTATTTATTTCTTTTATTCTTGATGCATTATTTTCTGTAATTAAACTGTAAGTAAAAAATATATAATAGTAAATAGATCTCTTGAATAACTTTAAATTTTGTGATTGGATTTTTCATTCATGTATGGAATCATGTTTCAAATAATAGAACTTCAATAATTTATAAGTGAAGAAAATACTTTTAAGTTAAAAAATGAGACACAACAAGACTCCTTTTGAATAAACCTATTTTTATTTAAAAGATTTGGATTTTTAAACATTAACATAAGGATAGCTGTTGCAATCAAGAAAAAGTGGTCTAATTTTGTCATTTGATTGAGTTTATATCATCACTAGTCACTTCTACATAGCATTAATTTTACTTTTTGCTTATTTCCCCTTATCTTTAAAGTTGTTAAAAAGATTTTTCACTGTTATAAATTCATGTATTCAAACATTATTCTGTGCCAATTTTTTTTTTTAAATCATTTGTTAGTTTTTATTTAATGTAATGGTGATTAAAGAATTTTTTAACTGTAAGTTATTCAAATGTTTCCCTTTTACTTTTGTAATTATAAATGCAACTTCTAAAATTTGAATAAAATTAATTAGTTTTTAAGCAATGAAACTTTCAAAAAAGTCACTTTTTATTTCTGTTTAACTGTTTATTTAACTAATTTTTTTCGAATTTTTGATTTGATAATAAGTTTATATAGCCTAAATATTTTTTTAAAATTTACAAACTACAAAATTTGAGATAACTTATCCATATTTTAAGAGTCAGAAGTGTGAATCTGTTGGAGGAAGGGAAAGGCATGTATTTTTCAGGGTTCAAAGTTGTCCTTTAATTCCTTTAAAAGAAAGTGTTTTAAATCAAATAATTATAACATTTCAATAAATTTTTAGAAATCTTTGTTTTTTTCCAAATTTTTGAAGTTAATAGAAAGAAAAAATATTTATCTAAAAAAGAACTGAGAAAATTTCAAAATCAAAAATAATTTTAAATGCCATAAAAAATAAATAAATGAAGTCTTCATAGTGCATCAAGTACAATATTAATCTAATTTGAGTATTAGAGACAATTCCCCTTAATTTTATGACATAAAAGCATTCAATGTGGGATAAATATGTAAAAAATTCTTCTTTCTACTACTCCTCATCACTACTCTGTTTTTCATAAGAGAATCTTTGATATATATATTAAATGCCATGTTGGTAAGACAAATTCTTCCCATTAGTCCCTTAAAATGTCTTTAATTTTTACATTTTGAACTTCTAGCCCTGATTTGGTGATTTAAGTTAAAATCAAATAATTAAAGTACTAACTCCATGTATCATAGATTTCATATTGTTTATGAAAATCCGATAATTAGGTAAAAAGTTATCTTGCAGATTTTTGTTTTGTGAACTGTACGTACATATTTTTCACATCAATTATATAGTAGAATTCTAAATTTTGCTATTTCTTGGTTTTAATTTTCTTCTTTTATTTGAAAGGGTCAAACTGTAAAGTCATCGTACACTACAGCATTATTATATAGCATGGGTAGACTGAGTGATAATGCTAAGTTAATCTGGAGATCAGCTGATGCTGTCTGTTTTGATGTGGACTCTACTGTTTGTACTGATGAAGCCATCGATGAATTAGCAAAATTTGTTGGGAGGGAAAAGGAAGTTGCAGATCTGTAAGTTTTATAACATTGAATTTGCTTTTCTATTTTTAAATGAATGTTACTTAATTTTGAACAGATTTCAATTTTAAAAAAGGTATTCATATTGCTTTGATAGATAGTATTAAAATGTATTATTTATCCGTTTATTGTGCGATGATTTATTAAGTTTTAAAGTGTGTTTTGAGTGAATTTTTGTCAATCACTGTAAATTTATGCTACAAAAACATGACACCTCTCTCAAAAAATTATCATTTTTCAATTTTGAGCTATAAACTCAACCAAGCTCATCAAAGGTATGCTAGCAAATCTACTGGTGAACTTTGGAAGTTCCTGGAAACATCTGAACAATGCTTTGTAGCCTCAGAATTAAGTCATCTCAAGGTCATGGAATTTAAAAATCAGATGAAAACTTTTCAGCCATGCTCAATCTGCAATATATCCGGAGTATATCCTGAACTGCCTCAACATTACTGCAGAGTATCTATTCCCAAATAATCGATGGTTTCCTCAAAGTTAATAGAACATTTGCACAATTCCAAGGATCTGATTTAGAGCTAATCTAAACCATGGGTATAAGTCCCATATATGTTTCTACTTCTTTGCAACCCTTATTTTTAATTCGATACAAATATCACGCTTTATGATGTGATGTACATTAATCCTCATGATAAGTTTATGTGTATTTATAGATATGTACGTTATAGTTTTGAATTTCATACTTTTCATCCTATAAAAGAGTGTTTAAATAAAAATAGATAATCTGTTTTACAGCAGGGTTCATACTCCTCCTGAAAATCCTGAAAAACTCCTGAAATTAGCTTTTTTTTTCTAAGGGCCCTTATAACTCCTGAAATTGGCATTTTAACTCCTGAAAATTAAATTTTATCTCCTGAAAATTTTTTAACAAAAATAAGAAACTTTTCTTAAACGGAGAAAATAATTAATCATTCCTTCCGTCTTCCCATCCCTTTCGTCCCTGGCTAGCAAATGAACTGTATAAAGATTGGCTGCTAAGTGTTGTTCCTGTGCCGGTTTATAATTTGAATCGAGCAATTCATTTGAATAGCCTCACTACAAAAGCTGAAATTTTATGAACTTTAAAGGTTTTAAGCTCACATTATTCCTACAAATCTTGTGAAAATGCGAATTTTCTTTTTAAAGCTATGTTTTCTGATAGCGAGATAGCAAGCAATTTCAGTTGTGGTGAGAAAAAAACTGCCTACCTCTCAGTTTTTAGTATAGCGCCATATTTTTTGTCTCTACTTAAGTCAAGAGTGAAAGAGGAAACCAATTATGTACTGCTTTTTGATGAAAGTCTAAATGATGTTAATCAATTCAAAAA